TGCCCTAGTAAGGGCATATTAATTAAAAATCAAAAGCAACTAACGATTACGCGACCTACTCTAAATATTCGTGTTAATTTAAAACATACACTAATTTACGTAATACTAAAAATTTCCATTAATTACCTGCATTAAATCGATTAATAAATTTGATACAGAAATAAAAAAACTTAAAAAAATACGCATTCAATTTTTTTTAAGGTAGTACCTACTTTAAAGACATCTAAGGATAAAGCTTTTGCGTACAAAAATCTTAAAATATATAATAAGAATTCTTAGCGGATAGAGAAATGTTTATATTTTCGAATAAAATGCATAGTTGTATTAAATGATAATATCATATTAATTGCTTGTTTCATTTACAAACCACTCGACTAAGTTCAGTTCAAGTAAATTAAAGTAAAACAAATAATTTAAAAGTAATAATATTATAGTTATACAAAAAATTCAAACGCGCGCTTCTTCGTTGTATAAATTACTAAAGCGGTTTTGATAAGAGTTGTATAAAACCTACTTTTCAGGCAAATATGCAGTAAGGCAGTGAGATATAAGGAAAATATAATTTTCTTTATATTATATGTAAATCATATATAATGTGAAGTGTTTTACACAGAAACTTACACTTTTAAAGTTAATTATCTGACGAGATTATTAAGTCAACAGATAGGAAAGGAGAATTCAAACAAAAAATAATTAGTCCATAATATGCTTAATTTCAATTCAATTAAAAAATAATGCGTACCAATATTTAATTGTTCTAAATAAAAATGTGCCCTAATATCTAGGTAATTAGTGTGAAAATAGGATATAGTAACGCACCAGTTATCGTGTTTTAGCGTCGAAGTACGATCACACAGCACGTACAGCGCGACGGACGCGCGAGAACAAACTGAATGGTGGTATTATGTTGGTGCCCCCGAGCATGTGACCAAGCCAGCTTCATAACGTGATCATTACGTTAATTCACTCATTGACGAGCTTGTTCACGATTTTATTAACTGAAACCATGCTAAATTTAGGATGAAATATCAGTTTTCCACACCATTAGGGATTTATGCTTATATTTAAATGAAGGAAATGATCTAGAAATATTTTAATGCTAACACTAAATTTAAATGAGCTTTTAGTTGTCCCGTGATTGACAAACAAACAGACCATTGAAAGATATAATAAATCATCGTTTTAAAACTATAATATGTTAAAATTTAATAAATTACTTACATTTTTAATTCTTAGGCCACACCAACTAAAGTTGAGCCACACGGAGATTCGTGTGCGAGATATTAACAAGTATCAGCTGATAAGGAAGATGAGATATCTCGTGATCGCGACCGTATGTTGGTAGCACTGCTCCCGCGCAGCCTCCGCGACCTCGTCGCGATTGTGTAAACAATGGCGTACATTGCTGCGTTAATATCACACACACGATTTAACTTTATAGATTTAAATTATAATATGACTCGCAATTTATAGATGACGCAACCGTGTATCATAGGTAGAATATACTTGCCTATAAGTTTCTACTATTCATGTATGTACATATTGTGTCTTATAATTGCATAATATCACTATCACTGGATACTACATATTCTCTCTATCTCTTCTGTACTGTGTTGCAGTTTAAACCAAAATCTTCGCCTTTAAAGGAAAGGTTTTAATTTTTAGGAACTTACATAGTTAAGTAGTTTGAGTAGTTCAGAAAACTTAGAATAGGTTACTTACTTATCGAATATACCTTTAAGCAATTTTTTCGAGCATTTCTTTGCTGTACAAGCAACCAAAATTGGAATAATTTGGTACATGTAAAGTCCTTTATTTTGTTTTAATTTGGTACACACATACGATTAGGTTCGCGAATATCTGTTATTTACTTCTTTCTATCATATATAGGTACATTTATGTACCTAAGTATTTAACTTAGTCTTTATGTCTGCCTAACTTAACCACTATTTCTATTGCAAAGTTAAATAAAAGAATAGAACAATCTTGTTGAAGCACTAATGCCCGATTTCACCAACATCCCATAAGCTACCACCTACGTATGGGATCCCTAGCTTGAAAGTTCCCCTAAAGCTACGCTAAACTAGCCCCTAAATTAAATTTCGTTTTACCATCGTCAGAGCCCATATGTCTAGTACCTATATTTAGGTGGCATTCTAACATTTAGGTGACTCTAACTGTTGGTGAAACAGAAACTGTCCCCTAACAGCCCCCTAACCATGCTTAGGGGATCCCTTAAACTTAGGTGACGTTGGTGAAATCGGCCATAAATCTGTGATACATTCGATGGATATTACAAATAAACGATTTCATGTTTGGAAACATAGGCACTAGGCAGGCGTGATTTAAGATGGATAATTCGATTTATCATAAGAGGAAGATGAGTATATCTATTATTTATAAAGACATAGGTTAAATAAAGATTATATTTTAAAGAAAAAATACGGTAAATGAGGTATTTTGATTTGCTTGACAACCACTTAAATTACAGGTCAAACTCATAAACCTCCTTTGGGCTTCGCAGCAGTCGTGTAAAAAAGTATATTGCGCAAGATACGTCATAAAAAACATATAAACCCAATTTAAGAGCTCCCTTTTATGAAGTCGGTCAAACGATAAATGATATCTATAGAGTTGTTATAATACATATACTTACCTATGTCATCAAATATATTCGATAAAGTTTATTGAGAGTAGATAGTACGATATTTTCAACGGTTCCAAACTTCCATACCGCCAAACGGGAAAATTCAACCCTAAGTTAGAAAATTAAATACTTAAGTCTCTAAGAGATCGAAAAATTCCAACTTCTTCAACGAAATTAAAATATACGGTCATTTATATCATTTATTGTTTTTAAATTCATAAACTCACTAACGTGGCTAATTCGTTCAAGAGTATTTTTAAAAGACGTTAATAAAAAAAAACACAAAATACATTATTTTTATTAACTGCTTGTAAATTTTTTGCAGAGGAAAATTTAATAATAAATACACATGGGCTTGATGACACCTAACCCATAGAGTGTATTGCTACATATATAAAACCTAACCTAATTCGAGGTCATTCACTTACATGAATTTAAATAAAGTAAAACATTACTTAGTAACTGATAAACCTTGTATGTTCTTTATCTGGAAAACATATTTTCAAAACGTAAAATTTATTTAAATTAGAAGCTAGAATATAATTTTAACGATTTATAGAATTGACGATTAGAGGAATAAGGAGGAAAGAAGGAAGTAGAAAGTAAAGATATTATAAAGAGATTCAGGATATAAGAATATGACAGACGGATGCATGTACTTTATAATTTTTTGACTTACTAGTATATTATTATATGATCTGTGGTATATGTAAAATTAGATGAAAAAAATTAAAGTCTCATCAATCTAAGAACGAAATAATTCAAATATAATTTTGCCGATCAATGTTTTATTTCACTATGCAATATATCATCGTGCTTTTGTTTTTGTTACGATCGTGGCCCTAGAAACTACGGCGGGCTGCATTATAATTTATAAACAATTAAATTATAATACAATACAGCCATATTTCTTTTTAATTTCTTGTTGATCTGGCTGTTTCTGATAAAAATGTGCACTACACTCAAAACTATTTATAAAATTTGTTTTTGCGAATTGCATGTAAGAGGCATCGTCTATTATTATTATTTGCAAGGTTTGATATACTGTGCAAACAATCGCACAGATCTAGTTGTTATAAATTATAATAGCGATATATATATATATATCTTAATATATATATTTCTTGTGTGCGTGTGTATGTGACTGAACTCCTCCTAAACGACTGGACCGATTTTGATGAAATTTTTTGTGTGTGTTCAAGGGGATCTGGGAATGGTTTAGATTCACAATTTTGTGTATAAATATGTATAAAAATGTAAAACTTAATTTTATAATAATGAAAGAATCATACAGCGCCATCTATCGCAGCTTATTACACATTACGTTTTCATTGTTAAATAACAGCGCCATCTAACGTTATAGTTTAGCAACTATTATAAAATAAAGTTTGTTTAATCAAATGAATAAACTTTATTTTAATTAATTTTTAATTTATTAGTAGTTGTTTATTTTGGAATGTTTTACATTGGATCCGACAGACGGCGCTACCATCGCAGTGTCAAATTTTAAATAATATTCGAATTTTAATTTTAGTCTGTCCCGACAGTTAGCGCTGCGATCAAATTAAAAAAAGTTAAATTAAATAATAATACCTATATAATTCTTCTGTACGTGTGTTTGTCATCTTACTCCTCCTAAAGGGCTGGACCGATTTGGATGAAATATTGTATATATATTTCAATGGGCTCCAGGATTGTTTGAAAATACAACTGGACCCGGTAGGTGAGGCTGCAGTCGGTGTGTCAAAGTTTTTTTTTTGTAGTTTGAACGCGGGCGACGCCGCGGGTACTGCTAGTATATATATATATATATATATATATATATATATATATATATATCTCGCACTGTATTAGCCAAGATAATCTTACTTAAGCAAATAATGTATAATACTTACTTTTTTACTAAAAAAGTAAGATTAGAATCAAATCGTATAAATGTTTTAAATTTATGATTCTAATAAATAAGGAACAACGTTTTATGTGTTTAGAAACAATGGAAATAATCATAAACATCTTCAAAATTTGGAGCTAGAAAAGCCATGATGGGGAAGTATCGAGCTCGCACTTCCGATTTTGCGAGCTCGATGCTTCCTGCAATGCTGCTGTTGATGCAAACTGACTACTCACAGTTCGAAAAAACGTCAACACTGAAATAAAACAAAATTGTTTAATCAACAGAACTTTTTATTTACACATACACCAACGCCTAAAATATCTATGTAAAAAATATATAAAAAAAAATTAAGTAAACAGATAATCGTCAAATAACAATTTCTCCTACATTCCAATTAATCTAATACCCAATCAATTATACGCTAAAATGGAACTACAACGATGAGGTAGCATAGATTTATTTATCTGGAATAAAAAAAATACGAGTCAATAAATTATTAATACACTAAATAGGTACTACTTTATTAGCCTAGTCGTCCTCTTAAGCCTAGTTCGCATTAAGCTAGTATTTTAGTCTAGTAGCGAGTAATTTAGTAACTAAACGCGTCTGAACACTAAAAATTTAGTCGATTAGTTTAGTAAGTAATTTAGTCGAGTCAATCCATTTTATTCTATTTTTTTGGGCGAGTAGCAGCCCCCACCACGCGTCCGAGCTCACTGGTTCACCGGCTAAACAAGTACGAACCTGTCGAATTAGTCGAGTTCATTAGTTGCCGCCATAATGTCGTTTCGCTGGAGCGAAGAAATGACTTTTAAATTTGTTTCGAAATATGTTGAACACGAATGCTTGTGGAATATTAGGTCCAAACTATCGAAGTATTCTTTGGGATTTTCCAATGCTAATTCCTTCAGAAGACAATTAGTAGCTCCTAGTTTATCTCGTCTTTCGATCCATTTTCGTATCCATAGCTTCTTTTTATTAATCACACAAATTTCCTCATCCACCTCTTCTAAAATAGCCGTTACGATCAGCTTAATCAGTTTATTTACTTTATTGCGTTGTAGGCTGTTCATCTTGCAAAACACCACTCACTTGTAAACTGTACTCGACCAAAGTGCGAACGATTTTTGGTAAGTAGCGAGTAATTTAGCTACTAAATTACTCGCTACTAGACTAAAATACTAGCTTAATGCGAACTAGGCTTTAGAGCTTATTTGTTCAAACTACCAATACATTTAAATAAAACTATCTTTTCGGATTTTTTCCCGGATTTATTTTAATTTTTGGTTCCCGATGCGACGTTTCGAATGTTTTACACCAATCATGGTCAAGGGAGAAACCATGTTTGCTCGGTTGATGACGGGAGAGACGGGAAAAAATTCGAAAAGATAGTTTTATTTAAAATGTTAAATATTCGCGTAAATCTAAGAAAGTACTTATTACTATACGTGTTGTACTTCACAATAGAGTTTTGGAAAAATAAGCACTGAGACCACAGTTTACATGCTACCATGTACGGTTGCATATCCAGAGTTCGTGGGTTCGAGTCCCAGGTCGGACCATTTCATTCCCTTGACGCATAAACTCGTAAGGCCATCCAGTAGTGCTGAATCCGTGTACAATGTACATACTTCATACAGTAGTATAATGTTGTATTCTTACAGAATAGTACTATTAATTCTCACTGTAAGTGTCGAAATGTCATATCAACGAAGTTTGAGAATTGAGAGTGAAAGGTATAGAGAGTGTACTTGTGAATGTATACTTGTGAGTGCATCTTTATATTAATCTGTAGTTAGTCACTAGTAGATTATAAAATTTACACTTTTAATTTTTGCTAATCTCACTATTTTGTCATAAATTTACTCACTCACTAAGCCTGGTATTTTCATAGCCCATAGTAGAGTGTGACTGCATTTGACCTTAACTTGTTCAGAGCCGTCGAAGGCATTCGAAGTGCTAACTATGCCACCAAATTTTAATTGTTGTTTGTCTGTAATAAAATAAAAATGCAATAACAGCAAGTAAATTGAAATAAATTATATGGAAATAAATATATAAATCACATTTTTTTTAGATAAAATATTTCAGCTACTATTATTTTATATGAGTAGTAGTCTTTCACCATTCGAAACGAAATTAAGTTCTATATTTAGTAAAATCTATAGCCTGTACGACAAATAAATCGCATTAAAATCTGTTCAGTCGTTTTTGACTGATATATGATTAAGAAGCTATGAGTACAAAAATTGAAAAACTTATAAAATTAGGTTTTATTATGATCAGAATCTGCAAAATCAATTTTCAAGAGATATCCTGCACAAAACGTTGATTGGTTGGTTTTATTGTATAGGTGCTAGCAGACCCGGTAAGCAATGTTGTCCTCTTAAAAATGAATTAGTTGCAAAGTTAAAAAAAACTTATATCTCTATAAAACCTCCATCTATTGGGTCCAACTATAACTAAGAACTTTTAAGAGAAGCATTACAAACACACACGCACTATTTATATATTAAAATATAAATATATTTACCTAAATTCCATTTCAATCCGCTAGTAGTGACATTTTCACAAGCTTCTCCTATGGGTATTAAAGCACACCAAGATTTCTTATACCCTCTACTTTCTTCTGGCACATCAATGATGTGGTCTCCGGGCTCCAACAGCCAGGAAATAGAGTCGTCTGACAATATGTACATCTTTGTGTGTGGTTTCAACAAATTCTGTTCTTTGACTAGATGCAAGGTTTGAATGTTGCCTAAAATTTGATCTATTCTGCCTGAACTTTGAACTAATGCGATCACATGATCTAACTATAACAAAGGAATATATGTATGTTTTTAATTTGTTTTTTTAATGAAGGACATTTTTAAGTACTGTGTTTTGTTGTTTTTTTTTCAACAATGTTTTAGTCCAAAAGATAATATAAAACAATTAGATATACTTACGTCTATATTAGTTTCCAAACAGTGGCTATTTAGCTGCATCAATGCTTTCGTAAAATCCGTATGATCTTGGTCTGGCATGTGAATTGTCTGAAACATACATCATATTTTTATAATTTTACTTTAAGTTAAATAGATACTTAAACCTACAACGGTTGTTACCACGCACTACTATATAGTTGCCATCCCTGAAGGCACTGATAACACAATCACTTGGGAAACCGGGTGAAGCGGGTTTTGTCTAAACCCAATCTCACACCTCTTGATATTTTCATATGCGAATCATTTCCAACATGATTATCACTTGTCTTACGGTGAAGGAAAACATCGTAAAGAAACATGCATGTCTGAGAGAACCTAGCATGTTTTTGCATTTAGCCAGCATGGTGGAGTATGGCCTGATCCCCCACGTATTGAAGAAGGAGAATGAATAGAATGTAGGAGGCCGTGCCCAGCAGTGGGACGTTAAGAAGGCCTGAATGCATACAATACATAATACAAGTACCTACTTGAAAATTATTTTTGATTTTCAGTATTAGGTTAAAGATTAATTTATATAATTACTAGCGACTCACTCTCGCTCCGCTCGGGTTCGTCCCTGGGGTGGGGTCTGGGACAACCACCCTTATCCTTATCACTTAGGGGTATGGAAAATAGATAGTAGCCGATTCTTAGACCTACTGAATACGCATATAAAATTTGGTGAAAATAGGTAAAGCCGTTTCGGAGGAGTACAGTAACAAACATTGTGACATGGAAATTTTATATATATATATATATATATATATATATATATATATATATATATTTCAATAAGTTTCAGTATGAATTTTTTTTTAAATAGTTTTGGCAAAAACTTTATATGTTTTACCAAAGGCTAACTTAGCTGTTCATATTCTTCATAAAATTTCATCTTATAGGTCTTTAATGTATTTGCTTAGTAATAAATCTTAAATTAATATCACCTCACAACCTTTCTTTTTATACTTTAGTAGTACTTCTTCTGTGATAGAATCAAAATCTCCTGTGATAAAGTCTGGGAGTTTCAATGTTGTTTGTTCATTTTCTGGTAAACTAGTAAGAAATTTGTCCCAATGAACTGTTCCACCATCAACAGTTATTCTTAGGGTTGCTAGAACACATACACTTCACATAACTATATTTTTAGTATTATAATTAAATTATACTAATTACTATGTTCTTCATGATTAATTTCCATTACAATGATTTATCTCAAACTTCTTTTATGTGAATTATTTAAGAAATACATTACACATTCTAATTAAAAAAAATATATGTCTTCACTGCTTACTTATTATTTTAATTTTTCTGTAAAAAGGCTATCATGAAAAACACTTTATACTCTCATATATATTAAATTCATAATAAGTATATTTATAATTACGTAAATATTGAATTCATATCTAGCAAATAATTGTAATATGTAAATTTACTTACCATTGTTCCAAAAGCTTTTGACAAAATTTTGGTTTTGTGAAATAGTTCGATTTAAAATAAGAACAGCATATTTAGAGCCACATTGGTTTCGAATAAACTCATAGACATTCCATTTCCAGCACTTAACCACATTATTCATGTGACAAGGACTTTGTTGTAGATAGAACATATTATATAATTTATGTACCTACAAAATTAAAAAAAACACCGATTAATGAACGCAAATCATTATAATTTAATAGTTTTGTAAAGAAAAAGACTTTCTAATAATATAAACTTAACATACGCTCTTATTACAAATTTACCATCTCATCATCTGCTTTTAAATAACATACAACATACATAACAAAATCATGAGGCGAGGAACAAACAAATCATGAGGCGATATTTGTTTAGTATAAATGTTCACAAAATATTAATTTAATTTTATAATCATTGCAAGTATTTCACTACAAACCTTATTCAACAATCCATTCGTAGACATTTTTTAAAAATTAAAGTTTTTTTTTTGGATATAATAAAATTATGCATAGAATAATTTCTATAGTGAATTATTTATTAAAGATTCGAAATAATTCTGAACTCTGAAAAGACAGCGACCCCAATTCACATTTCAATTCATAATTCATATTTTATTTGTCATCCATGATTCCTATTTTGTAACACTGACATTGTCAATTGTCTTATCACTTATGTCAATAGTCATTGACTCATTTTAGGACAAATGACATTAGTCTTTTTTAATGTAACACTAAATTTTTATTTGTCATCCATGCACTAAATACAAAATCAAAGCTAAATTTTGTCCGCGCGAATATAAACCAATCGGAATCCGATTATTTTTAAGAGAAAAAAAATATAGAAAACCTAGAGTTTTATGATTTTAAAATGTAAACAGGTATGTAAGAAAATTATAAAAATTTGTAAAATGCCCCCTATGCCCAGCCACCCCCGCAAAATGGAGGGACGCAAAGCGTTGAAAAATAGTTTTCTTAAATTTCCTGTGACGTTCTATCGAAAAATGTTTTGCACAAAAGTTGTAGGTGTAGTAAAAATGTTCAACTTTTATAAATAACACTTTTTACAACAACCTCAAAGTTTTCGAGATATTTGCAAAAAAATCGGTTTTTAACTTTTTCTTGTTTTTTTTTTTTTAATTTCTATAATAATTTTTTTATTTTCATGAAACTAAGGGAATATAATCTTTAAAACACATGTAATAAATAAAAAAAAAATGAAATTGAAATGCTTAACCATTTCTGAGAAAAGTATGTTTTATGGTTTTCAGAGGCTAAAATCACATCCAACTTCAAGTGGACGTTTACATTTAAAAAAAAATCGTTCAATTTTCAGATAGGGTTCATTCTTTTCGTCTTAAACTCTACTTTTTGAAAAAATAAAAACATTGTATGGTCGTCCTGTAAAAAGACCCTTAAAAATTTTAAAAATTGGAGAAATCGATAATTTTTTACTTTGGAAACTACATTTTTTTTCAATTATCATTGAAGAAGTGTACCTTATTGACCAAATTTTTATAAACTGATTACACTAATGTATTTTTCGGGAAAAAACGAAAAAGACAATTTCCATAAGTTTTTAATTTGACGCTTATTATTTATACAATGTCGCTGTAAACATTCCAACTTTGTAATATGACGAGTCGTGAAAAAATAATAAAAGTTGGAATTCACGTAAGGTATACCATTGCTGTTCTATTTTTTTTTGGCATAGAATCGATTTATGTTATTATTCTTTTGGAATTTACTAAATAATCGATTTTCTCTCTTTATAATAAATCGATTTGTAAAAAATAGATTAACTAAAAAATAATCGATTTTATGGAACAATTTGAAAAGTTGCATTTTTTGTATAATTATGAAATTACCAAGTCGATAACTAAAACAACAATCTGTTGGTTTTAAAATTGAAAAACAAAGCAATATTTTTTTTTTCAACTTAAATAATGAGTAAACTGAATAAAAATATTGCTACTAATTTTTAGTACTATTTTACATTTTATCGAAATTTATATAAAACAAAACGATAAAATGTGTAGTTTGGCTACATTGGCTTAATCCAACAACACATATCTAATCTTTTTACTTTAAAAAAAGAGAGTAATTAATATAATCGATTCATTAAATTTCGATTATAAAAAAATAAATAATCGATTAATATAAAAATCGATTATTTACATCCCTGCCATAATCTGTGACATAAAAATTAAAAAGTACAAAGATAAACTAATTGTGATTCGAGATTTTAATCAAGTGTTAAAGCAAACATTCTGCATTTTGCGTAATAATAAACGTTAAAAATGAATCGAATTTTCGGTAGAGGAAAACCCAAAACTCCAGGACCAAGCATTTCAGACTGCATCAATAATGTACGTAGCATGTTCTTTACAATGACTTCTTTAGTGAATGATTCATCTTCAATGCCAAAAATTATTGTTTCAGATCGATAGCAGAGCGGATAATATAGAACAAAAAGTTCAAAAATTGGACACAGAATTAAGAAAATATAAAGAACAAATGTCTAAGATGAGAGAGGGACCTGCAAAAAATTCTGTAAAGCAGAAGGCAATGAGGGTCCTAAAACAGAAAAAAATGTATAGTAATTTTTAGTGCCTCTAATTATTGTATTGGTTGAAAATATTACAAATATTTACATTATTATCTTAATAAAAAAATATACTCTTTTATTATTTATGTTAAAACATAAAGTTCCAATATTTATTGTTATATTATAATTTATATTACTCGACATAGACTTATTTTATTACAGGTATGAGCAACAGCTTGAAAATTTACGAGGTCAGTCTTTTAACATGGAACAAGCAAATTATGCAACACAAACTCTTAAGGATACTCATACTACTATAACTGCTATGAAAGATGGTGTAGCTTCTATGAAAAAAGAATTTAAGAAGATTAATATAGATACCATTGAGGTTTGTATTTAGTTTGATGATAGTGGTTGTAACCTACAACACGTTTACAGAATTAAAATAATATTTACATAAAACAGGATATTGAATTGTGTCAATTTTAACTACAATGCAATATTCTTAAACTTTAAAATTCTTGTATAGAATGTAAACCTTAAAAGATTATTTTTTTTAAATGTTATTTCATAATTTCCCTAGGATGTGAATGATGACTTAGCAGATATGCTTGAACAAGCTGATGAAGTACAAGATGCACTTGGTCGTCAATATGGAATGCCAGAGCTTGATGATGATGAGCTGGCTGCAGAGCTTGATGCTTTAGGTAATCTTCAAATATTATAATGTATAATTTTATTGTAGACTCTAATAATATTATTGTAAACAGAAATGCAGGATGTTGCTTGGTATGATAAAATATATGGGAGGAACAGATCTGAAAAAGTGCAATGTTTGCTTTATATAATTTTTTTTTGTTATATTGTTGTTATTGTTTATTTGTAAGTTTATATTACAAAAAGAAAACTTAATATTATATCATGCTAATATAATATTAAGTTTTTGGTCAGATAAGGTTTAGGTGTAGTAGAATATTGCTTCAAGTGATATTCATTTAATTGACTGAGTAAGAGAAGTAAACAAAGCATCTCTGATTCAAGTCAGGCAAAATTTGATTTCCTCTGTTAGTTTGATTGCATTCCTCAACTGCATTCCTCAACTGGTTGTATTTTATAACCGATCTAGGCAAAACTTGGGATATGGATTTTTGATTTTGAAAAGAGGGCTACAGGATATTTCTACGTTATAAGATCTGACTTGGATGGTTTTTTTTAAAAGATGGTAGCTTTAAGTTGGTCTTTTAAAAATTTGGTTAAGATCTGATGTGGATCTTCGTTGTATTGAACAGAATAGCTCCTCACATATAGCTCTTCGCTCTTCAGTATAGAGAGAAAAGGCAGATAGTATAGACCATATAATGTAGTCATGTGTAATCCATCTTCCATCTATTCAACATCCATGTAATTGGAATTGTTTTTTAATTGATTAACTTGGTTAACTTTTAATTCAGAATATTAATTGCATGAGACCGGTAATTCAATTCTTCAATTCACATTTATACAGTTCCTGTTTCATGATTTTGGTTTTAATTGTTATGTTTCATTTTTATAAGAAATTAAAAGAATAACATTTTTTTATATAAATATATATTTTTTTATAACAGGTGATGAAATAGCCCTTGATAGTGACACATCATACTTAGATGATGTGGTTAAAGCCCCTGCCGCTCCAGACAAGGAACCAGGAGCAGACAGCGTTAGGAACAAAGATGGTGTTCCAGTTGATGAATTTGGTTTGCCCCAAGTACCAAACCCTGCCCAAATTTCACGTTGACATTAGATGTTAATCTCGCCACCATTTTTTTTATGTTAACAGTCATTTGTTTATGTAAAAATGTTTATTTTATTTACTCACAATTTTGAGCCTCTCTGATTAAAAGAATAAGATAGATGGAGTGTCATATAACTTAACTAAATGAAGCAATCAGTGGGTGAGTGAATTTAGAATTTCTGTGTAAAAACTTTCTGTAAAAGTAAAATAAAAATCTTTCTTTTCAAAAACGTCATCTACTGATAATATACCACACACAAGTCACCTTTATTCACTGGAAAAAGTTAGTGCTCTTTATGGCAACTCTAAATTTTGCTAAGTTTTGCTCATACAAAGTTAAAAGTACAAAATAATATTATTTTTAATTATTGCATGAGATTATACTTTTTCTTATAATGTAAATTATATATGTACATTTATGAACACATGTTCTCAAAATTGTGCACAAAGACGCTGGAAAATGGAAATGGTGTAGTAAAAATATAACCAATTTTCACATTAAGGTTTTTCTCAATCTATCTTATTCTCCAGTCTGACGGTTGTCTGTAGTTTTCATTGTAACAATCTCGAATACGATATGATGCACCTGCTAAATAGGTTTGTTAAAAGTTCTTAAAATGAATGCATGTTATGTATAAAACATTTTCTTAGTTTTTAAGAATTGTTTAGTAAAAAGTTGTGGAATATATTTATTGTAACTAGATGACTAAAAATTTTGAATGTTTAGTTATATGTTTTAGAAAATTATAAAGTTCTAAGTTATGAATTTTAAACTTTAATATTATCTGTATAAATTACAAGTGATAAAGAAATATTAAATACAAAGAAATAAACCAATGTCTGGATTATTATGATGAGAACTACACAATTATTATTATCATTTTGTTAATATCGTAATACATATATGTATATTTCTCAGATTATGTAATGCTTTAAGAAGATTTTTCTTTATATAATGATATAATATATCAAATGTCACGCGAAGAGGTTTGATATTCATTAAAATATTTACTAAACACGCTATAATATTGTACATAAAAATATAACAAATACAAAAATATAAATTACTCATACATACATTAAATGAACTAATCAATCACATTAGTTATTTCTATCAGCGCAACAAGAGTAATAATTAGGCAAATTTTTAATTAATAAAGATACAAAGCACTATTGACATTTTATCGTAAAAATAATTATACACGTTATGAGGGTATATACTTACAGCTAAGTTTAATGTTTATGCATCTTAAGAAAATCAATGAAAAATATTTTTGTGTCAATGTGTTTCATGTCATTAAAATATAATTGTAGCGTGCGGATGTAATAATGTGAGCAAATACATAGATGTTTAAAATCAACGCTTCAACATTTGTCAAATGAAAATGTAATCTATTCATGTTTATAATAAAATATAAAATGTTTAATTAAAGTTTTGGGGTCTTTACTTTTTATCCCCAATATATTGATGGTAGAGGTAAGGAGAACTATCTTACATGGGGGACAAGTTTTTCAGTGTCCACCCATAGATTAATATTATATACAGTGTTCACCTGAAAGCGGTAAATAATAGTTCAAAAACCCACCACAATGGCGCTAGCGTAGCAAGAAAGTAGGAATAATTTAGCAGTTGTAAACGGAGTAAAGTGTGCCGAGTTGAAAAATTTAATATTTTGGGTGACTTGAGTAATTATTGAAACTATTTACGTAGTCCAAAATAATTTAGTAAATATAACCGAAAACACTAGTGATATAAACCTATAGGGATATTTATTTTTTGTGAACTTATAATAATACTTTGTACCCACTTGCTATCGTGCTGCTACCCTAATTTACCGCATTTAGTCGGATACTTTTTCATCACATCGTTCTCCTTACCTCTACCCTCGATAATCCCCAATGAAAAATGGGAGCCATTATAAGTTTAACGCCTATGACACTCTTTTTAGATGTCTGCCCACTACACCGTCTCATACCATGACCGTGTCAGGAATAAAAATATTCTTTGTATTGAAAAGATTGAGACTGCCCACTAAACCTTTTTGTCATCGGACTGGCACCGTCACGTGCCGTGGACGGAACTGTAACAAATGTCGGCGAGAATATTTTGCCGGTGCCCGTACGCTCTGTGCCTGGCACGCGACGTTGCGGGACCGGTGCGCGCAGGCGGCACAATGGTGAGCATACGCAGCACTAAAACCGTTATGTACGGATATGATACGCTGTTGATACGTTCTAGTGGGCATAGTAGTCCGTGCCATGCTCGTTTCTGTGCCTGATACGTTCATAGCACGGTCATGGTATGAGACGGTGTAGTGGGCTGACTCCTTTAGAACAATTTGTTTTCTAGAAGTGTTAAAAGAATTTTAGTCAGTCAATATTGTAAGGCGAAGCCGTACTCTAGTTTATCAACACAAAAGACAAGATATCAGGACAAAATTGGATGATCTTAAAATAAAACAAATGCGTAAGGAAGGCGAATCAACCTTTAATAACAATAATAATAATAATAATTTAAGAACGTTATATTACACAGTCAACTCTAAAATACTGCTCATCTTACTTTCAATACATCTGAATACTGAATCACAGTAAATGGTAACGTTAAACGGTAAGGAACGCACGCGGTGTCAACCTCGCGAATATTCTACGGACAATAAATAATACTTAGTCCACATATTTACATCTTATTATGTACACTCACTTGTGTTCTACATTGACAGTCTAATTGTACTAGCTAGCTTTGAGTAAACACTAGGGATTAATCGAGCGCTTCTTGTCCTGTCTTTGGCAAGAAGAAGCAGAGAATTGCAGCAACTGAAATAGGAAAATTATTAAAATGTAAACATTAATTATATAAGTTTTTAATACTTTCTACAATTCGGGTTATCTTAGTTGTAAACTATCTGTTCAAATTTTATCGCGGATTTATTCAAAATCAAATTTAGTCAAAACGAATCCGCGAAAAAATCTGAAAAGATAGTTAGGCATAAATCTAAGAATACCAACTTAGTTGTTTTATTAAAATATTACCGGATATGGTCAATTTTACTTAGTTACATACTGAAGTATCTTGTACCTGCTAATGCTGATTTAATAAAAAAAACACGATTTTTGGTTCATGTATAAAAATATGGAGACTCCAAGTATGTACTTAGGTAAATGAAATCGATTTTAACCTACTTTCCTTTCCTTGTCGTATTTACCAATTTGAAACTGCAAATCCAAACCACAATCAGGTGCGGACCTAGAGTTTTATACAATTTTCGTTTTCGTTTTTGCGAATAACGTGACAATATCATCAACATAAATCACAATGTCTCGATGATTATTTAATAATGCTTGGCCAATAGGTTTACCCATATGGAAAATGACCGTTCTGCTGTTGCTGCAATTTGTGTGGGGAGGGAGAGGGGGAGGGGCATGGGATAATTGAGATAGGATATGAATAGTGGGATGCAATGGTTAATGAATTAGGATTTCTAAGGATTTGCAATATGTTTGTGATTAACGCGTGCTTTGATAAAGTTAATTAATTTCTGCTATACATTGTTTTGTATAAATGCACCCAAGTTATTGGTTTAAGGTGGTCTTGGATCTTTCTTTTGTACTAGTAAATATTTAAAGTTTAATAAGTGAACAATACTTACTGAACAGGAATGCTGAGAAAACTACAATAGGTATGACACAATTGATGTCGATCAGATAACCGAAGGACAAGTTGCCTATGAGACCTCCACCTCGACCAGCAGTTAGCGAAAGGGCGGCAGCCATTACCCTGTAAATTGACATGAGAATTAAAATAAAACGTAGTTTATACAGAGTCCATATAGACTCCGTATGGATACTACGTACAATATAGGTAAGTATTGTTTTTTTTCTGTTATAAAATACTTAGTAGGAGCTCGGAGTTAGAAAGATAGTGATTGGTGACGTATTCGTTATAACGTCTCCTGTCTCGTTAGCTACCCTCAGTGAGTTTGACTCGGTTAGGAATTAGGATGACTTTACCGTTGTTTTCCCAATGTTTACTCGTATATTATGAAAATACAATATAAATACAAAATACATCAAGTACCTACACAGCTTTTAAATAGATAAATTAGATATTTTACCTAAGATTTGTTGGGAATAGGTCGACTAAAACGCAAAACACAAGACTGATGGCGAGCGAGGTGAGGGCTTCGAAGATACAGGACAATACCAAGTTTTGGATGGAGTTCTGTACGAAGTATAGACCGACGGTCACCACACCGGCGAAACCGAGTGAGAAAACTGGAAACGAATAATATTAAGTAAGATATATGAATTACCTATATGTAAAAATATTAATTTAATATTGATAAATTTATTTAAAATTAAAGATTGCCAATTATGGCGTCTAGTTATATGAATTATTACAAATAGATTATATTGATAAGTATCCTAATATAAATATAATAACTGATGATATTAGATTTCACTAAGTATCTTTCACTGTCGTAAAGTTTATTAACTAAGTAAGTCTTAAGAAGATTTAAACTTTATATTTTAAAACAGACGGATTAAGATAGGATCAATATTTATTAACTTGACTTTACTAAGGTTTTTAATAACCATAATATATAGAAAACAGATAATTAATTAATACTATAAAAAAAACTCTTATATTTAAAAATCTACGTACTGAGGAAGAACTTAGCACCAAGCTTGTGCACACACAGTGGCAACCACAAGGAGGTCGGGATGCAAGCGAGACCGACGATCAAGGTATGAGTGTATACACTCTCGTCGATGATCTTCTCGCAATCGTAGGGGTCCACGTTGCTCTCGTCGCTCACGACAATACCGGACACGTCGCAAACCGATGCAGATTGATTTGGGAAGCGGTGCTCGAATTCTTCGTAACGGTTAAACAATTCAGGGAACCAGATCATGAGGGTATAGTAACTGAGAAATGAAGTGTAAAACATCGGTTATACATTATTAAAACAAATAATTATATATTTTTTCAAATTATTACTACCTGTCTAAAACTATCATACCTGGTAGTTAAGCCAAACTGAATAAGACAAGTGAGTATTGTATATTTGAGGTAGGGAGCTTTACAGAGCGCCTTGGTCTGACCCCAGATTTCGCTGAAAAGTCGTTTTAGATCCTTACGTTTACGCATGCTCAAGCTTCGCACGGATTTCTGAGAGCTCTGCGATGCCACGGATATGGTACGGACTTTCTCCTTCAGACTCTTAATCTAAAATAAAACATAAAAGGAATGATTAGATTTGACAATACATAGATATTTACCTGCAACGATAAAAAAAAACTTGAGAGAATTTGCCAGTGTTGGGGATTTAAAGTACCGATTTTAAAATAAGTAACACACAAAGCTTAATACTTACTATCATTTTTTAAATGAATAAAGAATATGATTTTTATCAAAGAGCTTTAAACTTATTTCAATAATAAATGGAATAAAATGTTTTATTTCACAAGAAACAGTTTGTTACCCTAAAGTCGTATCAAGTTTTATTTTGATCGGCAGTATAAATCAAAGTATACAAGGGGCTTTCACAAAACGTCATTTTAAAATAGTTGAAGCATGGAAATCTAAAAAGGGAATTTCCCATAGGAATAATAATATAACAATTCTATGATAAAATGAAATCTTATCTAAGCCCCCAACTAAGAAGCGGTCCATCACCGGCTGTGAAAGTATATAATAATTACTGGATAATTATCAGGGTCATCGCCTGTGTTCTGTTTGTAGATTTGCTTGAGGCAGTTAAGGGCATCGTCGTAGTCACCGCACTCCATCATGAACTTGGGGCTCTCTGGGAACGTGAACAGCCAGAAACCAAGAAAGAGGGACGGTAAACCGCACGCGGCTACGAACCAATTCCACGAGTCGTAAGAAAAGGCTCCACTTTCAATACGTATGCCCTGGATTGGGATGATGCCCCATGCAATCACTGTGGAATAAAATATTGGATATATTATGTAGATATTATGATAGAAAAGAGCTGACTACAAAATAAAAATAAAACTTATTTTAGTTTTAGCTTAGTTTAGGTTAATTAATGAGAAATGTTACACTGTTTATTAAGCAATTATTTACTTCATTGAGTGCGCTTAAGTAGCTGCCTATAAAATAATCAAATAAAACCAATCATCGTAGGTATAATAAACAAAACTTACAAGGAAGTACGATGACACCTAGTGTCCAGAACATTTCCATCCAGCACAGAATTTTTTCTCTGTATTTGGTTTGCTGAAACTCTCCTAAGTAAGGGAAGCAGATTCCCATAGCGCCAGCAACACTGGAATAAAATAGAAACATGGAAAATGGTCATTACTATAGTGGTCAATACATATCTGATATTTTTTCTAGTTTTTATAATATGTAATATGCATTTATTATTAATTATTTTTTATTGCTCTATATTTTATTTAAAAAAAATGGTTATGGTTCTTGATTGGTAGGTGTTATAGCCATTGTTGTTAAAAGTAAATCTAAAGATTAAATGTAAAAAACTTACGCAAAACCGTTGACAAATCTGCAAGCCATGAATACGGGCAGAATTTGGACGAAGGAGGAGATGATTCCGACGAACCCGTCAATAAGTAGAGTCGATACTAACACCACCTTACGCCCTTTAGTGTCGGCTAAGCAACCCCAGAAATATGAACCTAACACCATACCTGTCAAAAAAAACATTTTTTAATTTCTCTTTAAAAGCAGACTAACATTTGAAGAGGTATTTATAATTTAATACAATCACTAGTATTGTAAATCCAAAAGTGCCTTTGGTGTGCGCTCGTTTATTATTTCTCTTATTTAGATAACTGTTAATGACTTTTGCTAGATTTATTTTATTTTACCCTTATAATTATTTATTAATCTAGTTAGATAAATATTAAATAAATTAAATGCCGAAAGTAGAAATTAGTCGATAGACACTTAAAACAATTAACTCAGGTAGATACTTGACATACTCGTATAAATGCCTCTAATATATCAGCATAAGCAAGTTTAATCATTTCTAGGAAATGTTTCTATATACTGTATGACTTAGTAATTTTATTGACATACCCCATAAATTACTGGTCTTTTTTGGGTTTAAGGTTTTAATTTTAAATATTTTCACAATATCGAGTTACGGTCAGAGGTTACGAGAAAAAAAATTCAAAACTATCTGCCAATTTACGATTCGAAGTTATGCTAATGTTATTAAAATTTAAGCGAATAGGTTCCCTAGGACCTCTAGATTTCCCTGTAATGGCAGCAATTATATCCCAATCGAAAGAATTCTGTATACTAACATGTTATGTATAAGTTACTGAAAAGCTTACCTAACATAGGGGCGGCGGTCAGCCAGCCTTTATCGGCGGATGTCATACGGAAGTCGCATGTCGCCGCGGGCAACACAAACGAAATAATTGTAATACCGACGGCTGTATTGGCATAGATCAGCCCTGTGATCGCCAGTAGACAGAAGTGGAAACGACCAAAGCCTAGAAAAAAAAATGTTATAAATAAATCGTACATTCAATGATACCCTATGCTTAGGGCACATGAAAACGGCATACACGGTTTCAGTTAAAAAATGTAATAAGGGGCGCGTCTTTTATATACTAATAATACTACTTGTGCCTATTATACAATACCTAATAATTATAATTAATTATGCATACATAATAACTTCTTTGAATCATCCATTTGGGACATTCTTTTCGTATGATAAATGGTTAGTAAAAAAACAATTGCTACTATAGGTTATGTTCTAGAAAATATATTAACTTACCATATTTGATCTATATGAATGCATGAAATGTAAAAAATATAGTTTTATTATAATGTATCGTATAATATTATAAATACAATTATTTGTATGTTTGTCCGAGCTAAGTTGAACTTAATGATATTTGATAGGGATTTTCTTATAAATCGGCCGACAGACCCATATATATGTACTACATTAAAGGGAAATACGCAATTTGTCCTTTATTTAATTCACGCAGGTAGTCGCAAGTAACGGAGGGTTAGTGATCTATTTCGATTATTATAAAAAAAATATTATTTACTTACCGGTTGCAGAAATCGCGGCTTCGAAATCCGCTCCATGTTCTAAAAAGTCTAAACCTGTAACAAGGAATAAAAGCATAAATATACCATCACAAATATTGTGTACGTTGTTAATTAATCTAATAATAGCGGTATTTGCTTAAACTTAACTGATAACACAGGTCTAATACGCCGTGTCACTAGAATATGGGCTTCGACAGTCATTCTTTTAAAAATATATTATATTTACGTTTAAACCATAATTTTCAGTTCAAATTTTATTTTATTGTGTAGTCTGTGATTTTTAAACCACTTATTGCTATTTAATACCACGAGTGACGAGCAGTTTAAATGTCAATTGGAAAAATAACAAAAGAACGTAATATAATTTTCGATTACCCACAATACTAACAATTTATAAAAAAATATAGGTACTCATGGCTATAATTTATTCATGTGGCAATAATAAAATTAAATCAAAATCAATATAATTTATTTATTTCTTTTTCTTAAAATATTCTTAATAATTAATAGAAAGAAGTTCATAAAAACAGAATTCATGTAGATTTTTTTACCTCGTTCTTTATATAGATAAAGATTTTTAACTTTAAAATAATAAATTTTCAAAACAAAAAAGATGCACTGATTTAAAAATTACTTCAAAAGTAATTTTTATTCTATCCTTAAGGATAAAATTGTAATGATCTTTTTAAGTTTTTGTTCAGTATATCCTATGTGTATAAAGCCTATTCATAAAATATACTATTCATATGAGCGAATTGAAAAATACACATTATATAAATAAACTTTATTTAAATCTAAACAACTGTCTTATTGTTCTATATACCTTATCATTTTTCGGTATTAGGATATATCGATATTGTAGATAGTAAAATTATCAACAAGTTCGGAAGCGGCTACGATGACGTTACTTTTGAAATAATATCGAAGCTTGTCGAGTGGCAAGTACACTCAGAAAATTCATCTTATCAACATAGCGGTGAACATATATAAAGATAAATAAGATTTACTCTATTGTTACTTCTTGACATTTAGTTTTATTTTATCACAATAAATGAAATGACGACTTTTTTTCAAGTATATATATCTTACGAGCAACTTACCGTCCCTAGATACGCGGCTTTTGTTCACAATTCATGGGTTTTTAATTTTTAATCCTGATTCTTTCTCTAAAATAAAAGTAGCCTATGCTACTCCTTATAAAATCAGCCTTCTAGCCAGTGAAGGTCCCGTCAAAATCAGTCCAGCCATTTCTGGGATTAGCCGGAACAGACAGACAGACAGACCGACAAACATTTTAAAAATTGATTTTTTCTTATTAGTACTGTATAGTGTATAATTCTTTCATGTGCATTTAGTAAAAAGCTATTATTTTGACATTACAGACACTTTAATTTTATTTATGTATAGAAGATTTCAAATATTTCAACTACAAAGTACTTATGCTAATCTGGTTTCAGGCATTTATATTTTATATTAACATGTTTCATTTGATTTAAATATATTACTTTAATTTCGTTTTGAGTGTTTACCTGTGAGTTCTTATTCGTGACTACGGTATTTTCATTAAAACAAGATCTCTAATCAAGCACTGAATAAACTTGTACTCGAGTCGACGTTATCTTATCTTATTATACTATTATACTAGTAGCATTATTTACTAGAATTGTGTTATGGTAAATCAATTTTATAAAATAAGAGAAGGGTTTTACCATTGTAAATACATCAAGCGTTGACATGTCTTAACATACGAGTATGTGTTATCAATTATCATGTGTGCACTTAGCTTTGGGGCAGCAAAAACAAATGGCGGAGGCGGCACGGTCATTTTATGGCATTGTAAGTGCTTCAAGGTGTTTTGAAACTAACACAATATAAATAATATTTACAAAATTCTATATAAAAACCTTCCTTTGTTTTTCTCGTCTCATCTTAACTTATCTAAGATGTTTCTGAGTAGTACTCGATAATTTCGAGATAAATAAATTCGTTTCGAGTTAAGAAATACCGTTTTTGTTACTTCAAACAGTATTATATTTATACATATATTTTATGTAAGCTTTCCTGAAAAAGTTTACGTCGATTATTTATTTATCTCTTCTTTCGAAAACGCTTCTGTAATTTCTCTTATGTATTATAATCACTTAAATTTTCCAGTGCTTACGAATTTTTTGTTAGCTACATTATAATTTTTATTTTTTAATATTGTCTAAAAAGTTAAAATTGTCCCCGTTATGATGATAATATATTTATTTTATGTTGCTGAGGTTGGTTTAAAAACGAAACTTTTATATCATTGAACTATAAGATATATATTATTTTTATAACAAATATATTATTTTTATAATTTAATAGAAAACATCAACAATTTAATAGAAATAGTTAAGAAGATTAAAAGAACATTAAAAAATCCAGGCCTATTAAATTAAGTTAGAAAGTCGTAATTTTCTCTCACACGAGTCCGACTAGTACTTTCGTAGTCATCGCTAGTCGTAGTATAAATAAGTTTTTAAGAGTAATGTAATGTACATGCACAGATCATATAATACTAGGTATATGTATCTTCTAGCGATCCGATTTTTCTCAGGCATACCATCACCCCTAGACCATAGAACGGGTCGAATCACTGATAATGATCGTAAAAATTTAAGATTTATAACTAAAAAATACTAAACAAGTGTTTTTTTTTTAATTTATGACATATCTACTTTTGTACATATTTTTATATAATGATGATAATGAGTGCTATGTTACTTTAAACTTAGTGATAGTTTTGATTCGAAAATTATACGAGTAGGTGTCGGACAGTATTTAAGTCTCCATAACTTTTGACTCCTTCATTTCCTTAAAAAATTGCTTATATATTTAGACTTCCTATCACCTCCTCTATCCAAAAATACTACCCACATAGAATATATTAGGTGAATGTATTTTTCTCGTGAAACTCAGATCTTAATATCTATTGCATGCATTCTGTCCTAAGTGACAAGCTATAATTTATTTAAATAATATTATATTATTATATTATTACATAATTCTTAGTGGATCTTTGAAAAATACTTTTATTATTTAAACTAAGCTAGTGTAGTAAATTATATAAAATTGAAAAAATCTACAAGAAACAGATAATAATTAGAGAGGCATAAAAAAAGGAAAAATATAATGTTAAGAAAAAAATATAAATAAAATGTTAACCCTTACACTATAGAGAGAGACACATTATTAGAAGTTTCATTTTGTTACAAGTCTTTTAAATTGATTAAACAGCAACATTGTTTCGAAAACTATTTAAAAAAAATTAAGAATACATATATTATAAGTAATTTTGTGATTTCGACAAATGTTGAAAAAAAAGAATTAATTAATATAAAAAGAATTAATTAATTAATAAAATAATCAATTAGTAGGTATGTAGCATTATTTTCTAAGCTTAAAAAAAATTGTATCAAAAAAAAAAAACAAAAAGCTCTTAAATTCTAAATTCATTAGCGTTATAGTTTAGTCCATTTCATGTCAGTCAATTCTCAAATCATTCTTAGTCATCGCGACGGCTGTCTTTATTTTCGTGAGAACAATAAGTAAAATTGTATCTTAAATAATAATTTTAACAGATATTGTTACAAAGTATGAGTGACAAGCGTATGGCTTCCCATTTTTGTAACAAGCGTGTGTTTCGCTGTCATTGACAGTTCGTCTTTGTGCGCGAGCAAACTTACTGAACTTGACTTTTCAACGGCATTCATATTGTATAAAGATGGTAATGAATTTTAAAACTCCAGGGATATATGTTTACATACAAAATATCTATGTTGCTAACTTAATTATTTATGAGCGTAACGTATAATATTTTTTAAAAGCTATTAACTTTTACAAAATATATTACTTATTAAGTAATTATATAAAAGTACAATTGAAACTTAGCAAAAAAAGAATAGGACGAAAAATACAATTTAATGCGTTATCTAGTCCTTAAACGATGATACCTTAAGTTATAATTTAAGAAACATCGCATAAAAACTTACGCATTATTAATATTATAAAAAAAACTAAAATATATATAACTTACCCATTTTTAAACAGTATTCACTTCACTATTCAATAAAATGTCCAGTTGAGATCAATCACGTTATATGGCCTACCGGCGTTGCATCGTCACCTCACGGTGCAGCGTATGCGCAGGCAAGAGCGCTAGTACGCTGCCAAGGATGTCGCGTGTCGCCCGCAACGGCTTCTATGCGAATGTCGGCTCACTACCGGCTGCTACTGAAGATTCCTTCCATGCTGATAACGATAAGGTCGGTCGATCGCTCATCTCACGTTATCTAGACGGTGACCACGATCAATCTCCTTGTGTGACTTCTAGGCCGCGATTCCGCCCGTAGTTATGTAAGAGAGATGTACGTCTTCAGGCTTTGTATCTAATTGCTTTAATTTGCATCGTATTTACTACAAACGGTTCGATATCACTGCATGAATTAAGGTTTTGGGGTGAATTTTTTCAAATTATGTTGATAGTCGCTCGCTGAAGAAGTTCCTCTTGGATAGATAAAATGTGAGCTTAACCATTAAGTTAATGGTACAGATTAACGGATCTACGAATTTTTGCATATATGTAGATAGTTTGCTGGCTGATGAGTGATATAGGTGACATTGACAGTTTTGCTTTAATATCTGGTAGTTCCCGTGGGGTATTAACTCTTGCAAACCACTAGCTAGGGTTATGTCATTAGGGTAACAACATTGTCGTAGAACAAGAAAAAATATAGGATACTAGCATTGCCCGCGGCTCCGCCCGCGTTCAGATGACCAAAACCGAAATTCTTAGTTTTACATATTAGTATACTCTTACAATGTAGTTTTTGTATTTTTTCTAAGAAATGAGATATTTTCCCGGGGTAAATTGTATCCTATATGTTTACACGGATAACCAGCTATCATCATACCAAATTTCATCAAAATCTATCCAGTGGTTTTCTCGTGGTGCGGTAACAGACAGACAGACAGATAAAAATTCTAAAACTATAGATTCGGCTTCTGTATCGATAATAATGTTTATTTTAATAAGATTTTCCAAAAAATATCTAATGTACAGATTCGGCTTAGTTACAATTTTATTAAATGTATAGATATTTCTCTGTCACGAAGATCGATAATTTTGATTTTGTTATAATCATTAAGATATCATTGATGAGAATATTTTAAGTGAAAAACTTATTGTACATTCTTGGCACATCTTACCTAAATTTGGAAAGTGTGAATGGACTTAACGACTGAAAACTGCCAGCGAGATTATTTACTTATTTTTTCATATTATTTTTTACCGGCAACAGAAATTACATTTAATTAAAAAAAAACATAGAATTAAAATGGTTACAGAGTTGCGCTGGACACAATATCAATCTTGGACAATAGCAACTTCTCATAGCGTATGACATATAATGAGGGTTTAATCGTGGTTATTTTTTACAAAACCTCATTATTATATAATCTCCTGTAATAGATTTTAATAAAGGGACATATACTTTTTCTATTCATGTTCAATTTCAAAATTGTAGAATAGAGTCAACAAATTCAAAATTGTAAAATAGAGTCAACCGTACAAAAACATATTTTTATAAAAAACATTGATAAAAATATCCGACATTTAACCATATTCCTTGATAAGTATCTTACTTCACAATCAATTTAAAATGTCTCGGTTTTAATCAAGCAAAGTTATTTCGTCCCAAGGCGATCCGGAGCCTGAGCTGTAAAAGCCGCAAACAAAGTCTAATGAACATCAGGATAAGGCGATTTGTTTCTCTTAGGAATATACTTATTAATGAATAGGAATCTATATTTGCGTCAACAATGATATTTAAAACTGGACTTTGAAAATATATATAGCTTACTAGTATTGCCCGCGGCTTCGCCCGCGTTTAGATGACCTAAAAGCAAATTCTTCGGTTTTACATATAAGTATACTCTTACAATGCAGTTTTTGCATTGTAAGAGTATACTTGTCTCAGAAATGTTTGTCTCAGAAATGAGATATTTTCCCCGCTGTAAAAAGTATCCTATATGTTGACCCGGATAACCAGCTGTCATCATACCAAATTTCATCAATATCCTTCCAGTGGTTTTTCCGTGATTGGGTAACAGACAGACAGACATACAGACAGACAGACAGACAAAAATTCTAAAAACTACAGATTCGGCCTCTGTATCGATAATAATGTCTATTTCAATAAGATTTTCCAAAGAATATTTAATGTACAGATTCGGCTTAGTTACAATTTTATTATATCTAGGTATATAAAATGTATTATTTAGTAAAAATAAAGGTAATGTCGTCTGTCGTCTGTAATACAGGCTCGGCCTAGTACAGTCGGCAGTGACAAACCGAAGTAACTTAATTGTAATTAGCTTATTTTGCGATTAGTGTACACAATGTAACTTAATGCTAATAAAGATTTATTATTATTATTAAAAAAAAATGTCCTCCTGCCCGATTTCAGCCACGGCAGTCAATCTCATTGTGACTAGCTATTTGCGCAGGAGATATTATAGTGCACAAGTATGCGCGCAAACACAAGTGCACTCTCTATTCCTGTCACTCTCATACTCCGGTGCAGTGGGATGAATACTCGACACGACCAGTGAGAGTTAAGGCGCAGGACCGACGGCTTTACGTGCTCTCCGAGGCACGGGGGTGAAACACCGCCAACTTCCTAACTCCAGGCTGTTACTGAGACTTCCTTAATAGAAAGACTCAATAACTAAACATGTCTCGACCCGGGACTCCAACCCGCCTCCGGATGTGCAGCCGTACTTTTAGCATATATTTGCAGATTGTAGATACACATATGTATATGTATGCACTTACTAAGAGTTAAAAAGTACGAACAAAGTACACAAGTGCTATTTAAAGATTTTTACTATCAACTTCCCAGCTTTATTATCAAATACTATATTGTAATTCAGCGTTAAAATAAAGTTAGTGAATTTAAACTCGATGTGTTAAGCCATTTACGAGTTTCAGCATCCATCTCTTTTTCTTTTACAGTAAAACATTACAATTAACATTTTATAATATACTTAGTATAAAATAAAAATATTATATCTTTGCCAAACTACTTATTTGTACAATAAAATAACATAACTATTAAAATTTAAATAGGACATTTAAAATAGTATATACAAAAAATACGTATTAATTTACGCTTTACCCCTATCTCGTCTAGCCTCAACCAACATAACACCTAGGCGACCTTTTGTCATGGGCGTTTTTAATAATAAAAATAACTAGGTAGAATTACAAATATTCGTAATTATAGGGGCTCATGAATTATTTTTACAACTGGATATATATCAAAGGCATGAGTTTGTTATACTACTGTAAAAGTTTTATATTGTAGCAGTGAATCATGATTTCATTAAGAAAATTAATCAAAATATGGTAGACGAGATAGCTTTTATATAAAATCTGCTTAATTTAGTTAATATATTGTTGTGTGGTATAACTATAGAATTTGTGTTTTTATTCGACGAAGTCAAGACAAAGTTTAGTCTCGAATTATCGCATATACTTTTTCCAAATAATTAAAATACAAAAAATATAATAAAACGCCCAAATACAATATATGACTCACTACATGGTATAAAACAAAGTCGCTTCCCGCTGTCTGTCTGTCCCTATGTATGCTTAGATCTTTAAAACTACGTAACGGATTTTTTAATAGATAGAGTGATTCAAGAGGAAAATTTTAGTATATAATTTGTTAAGTTTTTGTATACGTTGGCTAAAATATAACGATATTTGTTGGAGGTGTCGGAAAAAAAAAATAAGCCGAACGAAAACGCTCTCTTAACCCTTTGAGATATAACAAAATAATGGTGGAATTGTGTATCTTATATAGGTCTATAGAAAATTCCGCAATGGCATATGTCTATCTCTTAAGGATAACATACTGTATCCATGTTAATTTAAAACGTATCTTGGAACGAACCCGAGCGTAGCGAGGGTAAATCGCTAGTTAAGATATAAATTCAATTAAATGAACTAAATTAAATATTTTTACAGTTCATTATGTAGGTCACAATCATAAATCACATAATCGAAAATGCGTAGTACAGGCTACGACACGACTCAGGGCCGCGCAAGGCTTCTCGTCGGTCAAGTGCGTCTACCTGCCTTGTTTAGAGATGTAGGTAGTTAGGCTACAGGAAAAACATTAGCGCCTTATGGAGTGCTAAGCTATCGATATATCGATTTTATATTGCAAGATACTTTAAGGAAAACTATTTTCGATTCTCTTTCATACATATGTACTTAGAGGTGTAACATAGTTCTACTATTATGTTTTGTAATAAATACGTCAGTACTATTATCTATTCTGTAACTGTTATATGCATTATGCATTATAAAATCTTATTAATTAAATATTAATCTTATTAATTAATAAGGATATTCTATATATTTTTCACTCCACTTACCTATTTACGACAAAAGATTGTCCAGGAAAAGTAGTCTTAGAAAATTAATTTATAACTTGAAATCATGCACAACTCAGGTTTTGTATGTAAGTATATTCTTAAAAGTAAATAAAGAGAATATCCACTACGCTCGGAAGTAAGGAACGCTTTTTGTCGTACAGCGTTTGTGGCGTCTTTTAGTGCCGAGCACACAAAACTTTAACTTGTGAAAAAGGTGCTTTATTTTGAAAGAATCTTTTTACCTTCGCATTGTTACAAGACTAATGTTACTAGTACCACTTGATGCACCGAGACAAAAAGTACCTGATCTGAGTTACATTTAAAGCATTATTTACTACTAGAAAAAATCAAATACCATTCACATAAAGAGACCAAAGGACTCTAAATAGCAAATCTTAATTGGAATTTGCTTGCCATTGATTCATCAACACGCCTACCAAATCTCTAACAAAGGAAGCTAGTACTTTGACAGTTTATTCCGAAAAAGCCGATGATTTATTAAAATTTACTCGTTAAAGGCACCCCTCTCCATGATAATTATGATTAAATATACCTTTGGTAAAACAAATAAACCAGAGTTCAAGGAGTAGAGCACTTATCAAATGTCCATTTTCCCACTTATTAAGAACATTAAATAGAAAAAGCCGAGACAGGGCACAAGTTCAATCAAGTTATAAAGTGTTACAATTATAAATATTTACATATTTAATATATTATGTACTTTTATAGTGGAGATATATTCTTTATCGCGACCATCAAAAGACAACGTAAAGCTATTATACTATTGGTAATGTCAGTAAAATATGCACGTTCGTATATTACAATTACATGCTTCATTAATATATTATAACATATAGCATTGCAATAAATTTTGTTTTTCATTAGATTGACATTTGCATTGGTA